AAGAAGGAAGGAAGGAAAGAAGGAAGGGAGGGACGGAAAGAGGGAGGGAGAGATAGTGGAAGAAAAGAAGGAAAGAAAGAAGGAAGGAAGGAAAGTCATCTCCATGTTCAACAGATAGACAAAATGACAGACTCTTAGGCAATTATTAAAAATTGGGTTTTACAAACTAAAGACATGAAAAAAATGCTCATGATATTTTAATTTAACAAGAATTGTGAAGAATTTATGTATAAAAAGACTGCAAAGGTCAGACACCAAAATGCACAGGAATAGCCCTGGCAGGTATGTAATTTGTTGGATGAATAAATGAGACTCCAAGTAATATTATGACACGATTCTTTTCTTTTTTTTTGTCTGGGGCTGGGTTTGAACCCGCCACCTCCGGCATATGGGACCAGCGTCCTACCCTTTTGAGCCACAGGTGCTGCCCGACATATTTTCTAAATTGTAATTTTTCAAGTTTTCTGCAATGAAAATGCGTAAGTTTTTACAACTTATTGTTTTTAGTGCAAAACAACTTAAAAACAAAGAGAATTTGATTTTCTGGGTTGAACATCACCCACCCCTGCAGTCTCTGGGAATGGGAATGTGTGGGGTGAGGCTGGGGTCCAGCCCTGCTCTATATGCCGGGTGACTCTTGGTCAGTCTTTCTACTCTCTGGCCCTCATCCTGGGTGGCAAGAACCTCACAGGCCTTGCCCACTTGCTCCCTTTCTCTCCCACACTGTAATCCCACAGGGCAGAGCCTGCTGAGACTGGGGTAGCAGGCAGTGCCACCTGGCTGACAAGTTGAGTCCACTGCTGGCTCCTGGCTCACCAGAATCATCCCCTGCACCACAGAGAACTTCTTCACCATCAGAGGTGGGGCCTCCTGCAGGGGACTGTGCAGGTCATACCGCAGTAGGCGGTAGGGGTCATGCTGGCACTGCCAAGACAGAAAGGTAATAAATGTTCATCCTCATGTCAAGAAGGATTATAACATTCTTAGCTGGGCCAGGCTCCCCTGGAGGCCTAGAACCCTGCACAACTCTTCATGCCCAACTCCTGTTCAAGGGCCCTTCTGCCCTGCATGCACACCTCCCACCACTGTACCCAGAGCATGTCCCCTGATCTGTGTAAAGCCCTCTGTGGGGAAGGCCATCACTGGGATGTCTGCCCCTGCATGTGACATCCATTAGCCAACCCCTCTGGGGTCTGCAGAACATGACTGCTTCCTCATCTTGGGAGAAGCCCTGTTCCTGGGTATTCCTGTTTTCAGAGGAATGAGTCTACTTTCCACAGTGTGAAGATTTCCTGTATCCTCTATTCCCCTGATGGACTCCTGCCAGTCATCAAATCTGATGAGAGGACCTGAATTGAACGCACATCCCAAGGACAATTCAGAGTAAAGCTCTCTCTTTCCCCTCCTTCCTCCTGGATGCTAAGGATCTACAATACAGCCATTATGGTGCCTTCCAGTTTTGTCTGTCTTTTACTTCCAGGTGTGTCAAGCCGTCCTACTCAGTTGCAGTGACTTTTCTGTCTAAAATGTAAGACCCAGAATGACACTGGGTGTTCTACCTACCAGGTAAAGAGAACATCAGGGAACATTTTCGCATTAACCAAAAACACTCTGACAGTGCCCTGAGTCCCTCTGAGCTCCGAGGGCACCCTCCAAGAGTGTCCTCCTATCTTGAGGCCCCTCCTTCAGGGGATTCAGCCACCTTAGGCCAACCTGTCCTCATTCCTGCTGTGCATGGCTGGGCTGGGCCACCCTAGCATTCCTTAGTGACAATAGTGAGTGAACAATGAGTAGCTGCACATGGGCCGAGATTCTCTCTCCTTCACAGATGGGCACAGAGCGCAGGTGCTCAGCACGTGTTCACTGAATTTAACTAATCAGAAGTAGACTCCAGAAGACAAATGTGGCTTTGACACATGGGACTAGTTAAAAGGCTTGTGGCCAGCTCTGTGCTACCTTTGACTGAGATGGTGACAGGCAAGTAGTAGTGTCTGCTCAGAAGGGCTCCAAATGCTGAGCTCCCGGCCCCGGCCAAGAAGCAGGCTTGTGGGTGGGCACATGGGGGGCAGGAGGGCAGCTCTCCTGGGAGGAGAGGCAGGAGAGGTGTCCACACAGACCTCCACCCCAGCTGGAATTGAAAACCCAGAACTCTGCAACAGCAAAGGGGAAAGAGAGTGGAGACAATGGATTTGAGGGGTCACAAGGACAAAGAAGGCTTGAAGAAAGCTACCACATGGACAGTACCAGCTCACATGCGCCCACTGGCCTGGAGATGGGACCAGCCTGCAGCTGTACGAATGCTGCTAGGAATGACTACAGATTCACTGGATGATGAAGACCTGTCACTTGGAAATGACGCTGCCGAGGCAAGTAGGTGGGAGTGGGTTCCACTTGCCCTGACTAATCTTTTAGCCCAAAGACTCCTTTGAGACTTCAATCACAACAAAATGGGACCTCAGGCGGCCCTTTCCCCTGTTTACCTTAGCATAGGCCACTGCCTCTGCCAGGGACAATCATTCACCTGCCAAGACCATGCTCATGCTGGGAGGCCCTCCCCAACCCTGGAGGCAGCAGACACACATCCCCAGGCTCCTGCACACCAGGAGCTGTCCTCTCACAGCCCCCCGCTGGGGCCTGCTGAGGCTGCTGCTGTGTACAACTGCCCTCCAGGGCGTGGCTTGTGTCTGAGTGTGTCACTGTGGGTTCTTTACTGGGCCCTAAGGATACAGTGGTGAGCACTGTCTCTGCTCTGAATACTCATATCCATTAATAGCCACCAACTGTGGAGTTCTCTGGAAGGAAAGGATGGTGCCCTGACTTTATCCCAAGGGTCTGAAGGAGGCACCTGCTCTGATGTGGTAACATTCATCCTGGGACAGGAGGGTGAGTGGGGAAGAAAGAAGAGGGGGTGAAATGTTTGATAGTGGGCTAAGTGTGCAAAGGGCCTGAGGATCAAGGAACTAGGAGGGTGATCACATGCTCAGTCAGTCCTAACAATGAGGGTGTCTTCCCTGGATGCCTCCTCAATGGACCCAGACCCACCTGGATGCAGGGGGAGGCACGGCCCTGCTGCCGGTGGCTGTAGAGTAGGTCCAGCAGCCACTGGAGCTGCGCTGTTTGATTGGGGGCCTTGCTTGAGATTATCCCAAACACCAGCACTTGGCTGGGGTCTCGGGGTGCCATCAGGAAGCGCTCCAGCTCCACATCAGAGACCAGGGGTGGCTTCACTATGCACTTGCAGCCGGCCCGGGTGTCTTCCTTGCGGACGAGCCTCCGGAGCACCAGCGGGCAGTCGGAGGGTGAGGCTGCCCACCTGGTGGGGCTGTGCGTCTTGGGGGCCTTCCCTCTGCATGGAGGAGCAGAGTGGGTGGGGCTATTAGCAGGTAAGAGGCTGGTGAACCCCCTTGGCTCCAGAAGGACAAAGGCTCCACTGTGGGGTCTGAGCTGTGGGCAGATTCTATGTGGCCCCTGATACCTACAAGCAGCACCACTCCTTAGATACATCCCCTCCCCTCCTCTCTGGGCCTGATTTCTCAAGTACAACATGGGAATTACAAGTCACTCATTTATGTATCCATTCAGTCAACAAACACCGTGGTGTCACCCCTAACTCCTTTCTCATACCCCACACATCCCAACTAATCCCTCAGCCCGTTTTGTCTCCACTTGGGACAGACCTGAAACCTGACTGCTGTTCCTGCCCCCTACTCCTGACATGGTCTGAGCTGCTATCATTTCTTGCCATATGCTGCAAGGGCCTCTCTCATGTTTTCTTCCCTGGCTTCTTTTCAGCCTATTCTCCACATAGCTGCCTGAGGGATCCTGTTAAAACCTAAGACACATCATGTCACTGTTCTCTTTGAAACTCTCCAGTGGCTTTCTATCTTTCACAGAACAAAAGCCTAAGTCACTGCAGTGCCCTTCAAGGCTGCGCAGGTCTGGCCATCCGTCACCCCCGTGCCTCTCTCACTCTCCCACATTCTCTCCTTTTTCTCACTGAGCTCTGGCCAGACTGGCCTCTGCTCATCCTCCAACCTCAGGCCTTTGCTCTTGCTGTTCCTTCTGCCTGCTTTGCTCTTCCCTACTCACGCTACTCACTTTCTCACCTCTGTTAAGTCTTTACTCACTTGTCACCTTCTTCGTGACTTTCTCACCAGCCTATCCCAAAGCTCTTCCGTTCCCTGCTCTGTTTTCCTCCATGGCATTGCTTGCTATCTAACATGTCTTTTACTTATGGACTTTTGTTGTCCTTCTCTGTCCTACTAGAGCGAAAGTTCTCCAAATTCATGTATTTTGGAGTGTTTTGCTCAGTGGAGTAAAGTAGTAGTGCTTGACAAACAGCGAAGATTCAATATAGATTTAGAAAATATTCTAACAATTTTATTGGGCACCTACTGCATGCCAAACACTGGGTCAGGCCATAGTGAGAGAAGACTGTTAACGTGGAATAAGCACCATTCACATAAAGTGCTACTGTGATTTTATCTTTATCACTACTGCCACCTGACACCAGGTTTAGCATTTTATAGCATCCACAGCCCTTGGAAAAGACATATTCTTGGTTAATTTTATAACAACCCTGTGGAATAGGTAAGGCAGAAACCATTATTGCCATTTTCAAATCAGAAACAGAAGGCTTCTTCCAGGTGAAGAGTTTATCCAAATTCGTGCAGTAATTAAGTGGCAAGGGCTTGGAAACCAGGGCATCCTAAAGCAAGAACAACGTAAATTACATTATATTATAGATGTAAATCACATTACAACTCACAATTTTTCAGAGGCTATTTAATATGGGTAAATACTTGCTGAACAAACTTGTTAAGAGTATCTCTTGTTCAAGAACCTGCAGGTCTGGGGGGGAAAGTTGGATCTATTAATCATGACTTACATCAGGATAAATTCAAAGTGATCAAGGGTTTAAATGTGGGGAAAAGAGGCCATAAAATTTCCAGTGGGAAATTATTCTATACATTTGTAGCAGGGAAGCCCTTTTATATTTATGACTCAGAAGTCCAGAAGTCATAATAGAAAAAGAGTGATAAAGTCAACTATATAAAAGAAATTAAATCCCAAACTCCCACCAGGCAGAACCATCATAACCAAAGACAAAGACAGCTGACAAACTGAAGAACACATGGAAACTCCTACAGATATATCCCTACTATGTAAAAACCTGTAAAGGCATTAGAAAAAGTCAATAACTCAGTAATATATGCACAAAGGGAGTGAGCAAATAATTCTCAGAAAAGGATGTAGAAATTGTTCTTAAAGTTACGAAAAGAGGAGGGCTGAGTCTATGGCTTAGTGAGTAGGGCGCCAGCCTCATATACTGAGGGTGGCAGGTTCAAACCCAGACCTGGTCAAACCACAACAAAAAAATAGCTGGGCATTGTGGCGAGCACCTGGAGTCCCAGCTACTCCGGAGGCTGAGGCAAGAGAATCACCTAAGCCCAGGAGTTGGAGGTTGCTGTGAGCTATGTGACACTGCCATGGCACTCTACTAAGGGTGATAAAGTGACACTCTGTCTCTAAAAAAAAAAAAAAAAGTTATGAAAAGAGGGGAATGAAACCACCAAAAATGGCACTCCAATTTTGGAACTCCACATCCTTCCACTAAAGCAACAATAAAGCTAGCAAAAACTATCAGAATCAACTTTATCCAGAGCTCCAGAATCTAAAAAAACAAAAAACAAAATACAAACAAACAAACCAATCACCACATGGAATGCTTAAAAAATAAACAAGATGGGTGGTGCTTGTGGCTCAAAGGATTAGGGTGCTGACCCCATATACTGGAGGCAGTGGGTTTAAACCCAGCCCTGGCCAAAAACTGCAATAAAATAAAATAAAATAAACAAGCTGCTAAATTTTGGAAAGAGAGCATTGTGGTGTTTTAACTTACTTTGCTACCATCCTCCACATCCCTGTTAGTGGCATCTATGGAATGACAGCCCATGTTCCTGGTGCAGAAGCACCTTGTCCTCAAGGAATTGAGTTTGTTGTGAGTTGACCAGCCTGGAGGTTCCTGAAGGACCAGCTCAGGGCTTGAATTTATCTTACCTGCCTGGGAACTTTCTCAGGGCTGGAGCAGCCCCTCCTTAGAAGTATTTGTCAAAAGCATTTAAAGACAAAGATACCACACATAGCCTCCTGAGGCAAGGGTGACTGATGGGGCACATATAGGCATGACAAAAAGCCTTGAAGTGAAGCTGAAGAAGGTCAGGGAGCCTTTCAAAGTCTTGAAACATAGGTAACAAGACTTTGAAAGGCTCCCATCTATACCAGGAATCTAGATACCAGGTTTGGAAGCATAAGCCTGGGAGTTTGAGGTTGTAGTGAGCTATAATCACACCACTGCAGTGTAGTCCAGGCAACACAACACGACCCTGTCTTAAAAAGGAAAACAAAAAGGCCAGAGAAAGCACTATACTTTCACATCTGGCTGACCTGTGTGCTCTGTATAAGTACTAACAGAAAGTAAAAGCTAATGGAGAGTTATAAATGGCCTGACTAAAACTATAAAAAGAGTGGTCTGCAATCTGCAAAGACAGAGAGTTTTTCTTGGTGGGGGGATTTAGCTCTAAATGATCTCTGTCAAATCACTAGCTGACCACTTACCCATAGCTAAGTGAACAGAGACTTCAATGACTACATATGACAAATGGTAAAGTCTTTATAAAAAGAGTGGAAAAATCACTAACAAACAACTATAAACTATGAAAAGCAGCAACAACAAACTCTAGGGAAAAGGGAAAATTTGATTTCCAGAGTTACCACATTGTAGTACTTAAAATGCTCAGTTTTTCAACAAAAATTAGACATGCAAAGAAACAAGAAGTTATAACCCATTTACAGGAAAAAAATAATAGAAACTGACCCTGAAGAAACTCAGATAATTGAACTTACATGCCAACATCTAAACTATGCTTAAAGAGTTAAAGCAAACAATGGAAAAAGAACTAAAGGAAACCAGGAGAATAATGTCTCAACAAATACAAACTATATCAATAAAAGACAGAAACTATGAAAAGTAATCAACCAGAAATTAAAATAAAAAATTCAACAGCAGATCTTAGCAGCCAGAAATCAGCAAACTTAAAAGATAGGATAACTGAGATTAGCCAGTCAGAGGAGCAGATAGAAAAAAAAAATGAAGAAAAATTAATAGAGTCTAAGGTATCTCTCTGTGGGACACTATCAAGTATGCTAAACGCACATAGGGAGAGTTTCAGAAGAAGAGAGAAAGGAAGAGAAAGAATATTTGAAAAAATAATTACCTAAAACCCTCCAGATCTGATGAAAGACATGAGTCTACATATCCAGAAAGCTCAATGAATTCAAAGCAGAATAAATTCAAAGAGACCCACATTATGATAAAATTGTCAAAAGGCAAAGAGAAAATTTGGAAAGCAACAAGAGAGAAGCAACTCATCAAAATCAAGGAATCCTCAATAAGCTTAACACCCAATTTATCATCAGAAATTATGTAGGCTAGAAGGCAATGAAATGACATATTTAAAGTGATGAAAGAGAAATAAAACCCCTAAAAACCTGTCAATCTAGAATTCTATATTGAGAAAAACTGTCCTTCAAAAAAGAAGAAAAATTAAGACAGTCCCTGATAAACAAAAGCTGAGGGAGTTTGTTGCTAGTAGGTCTGTTATAAAAGAAACGCTAGGCTCAGCACCTGTAGCTCAAGCGGTTAGGGCACCAGCCACATACACCAGAGTTGGCGGGTTTGAATCCAGCCTGGGCCTGCCAAACAACAAGGACAACTATAACCAAAAAATAGCTGGGCATTGTGGTGGGTGCCTTGTAGTCCCAGCTACTTGGGAGGCTGAGGCAAGAAGATTGCTTAAACCCAAGAGTTTGAGGTTGCTGTGAGCTGTGACATCACAGCACTTTAGCCACAGAATTTAATGTAGACTACTATGATTTGGATGTGTTTTTTTGGCCCCCGTTGGAAATCTTCCCAGTGATGGTGTGGTGAGAGGTGTCTAGGCTGGGGGAGGGGCAGATCCTTCATAATTGGCTTGGTTCTGTTCTCACAGCAGTAAGTTCTCATTCTTAGTTCCCATGAGAATTGGCTATTGAAAAGAGCCTGCCACTTTCTTTCCCTACCACCCCTTTGCCATGCAGTAGGCTCCCCTTCTGCTGCCATTTCACCTGAGTGGAAGCAGCATGAAGCCCTCACTGGATGCAAATGTCAGCACCATGCTTCTTGTACAGCCTGTAAAACTATAGCCAAATAAACCTCTTTTCTTTACAGCAACACTAAATGGACTAAGGTAGGCCTTTATAGCTGCATTAAATGGACTAAGATATAGACAAAACAGCCTTATATGG